AGTTAAAAGTGGCAAAAAAAGAAAAGGAAAAAGAAAAAGAAAAAATATTCCATCTATAATAAAATGCTAGCCACACTGCGCCGGGCCGGATTTCAGCCGTCCATCGCCCTCCCGCACAAACTTCCCAAAACCACCCGATTGACTCCCACTCGCTCACTCCCCTTCAATTTCTCCACCACCACCCAACTACCGCCACCCTCCGCCGCGAAGATGGAGACCGTCGGGGTCCTGATGATGTGCCCGATGAACAACTACCTGGAGCAGGAGCTCGAAAAGCGATTCAGGCTCCTGCGGTACTGGACTCAGCCGAAGCAGACGGAATTCGTGGCTCAGCACGCCCCCTCGATCCGCGCCGTGGTGGGGAACGCTGCCGCCGGCGCCACCGCCGAGTTGATCGACGCGCTGCCGAAATTGGAGATTGTTTCGAGCTTCAGCGTTGGATTGGATAAGATCGACCTGGCCAAGTGCAGGGAGAAGGGGATTAGGGTTACCAACACCCCCGATGTGCTCACGGATGACGTGGCGGACCTGGCAATCGGGCTGATGCTGGCTGTGTTGAGGAAGATTTGTGAGTGTGATAGGTATGTGAGGAGAGGGGCCTGGAAAAATGGTGATTTCAAGTTGACATCTAAGGTACTAATCGCTTCTATTTACATATATTCATTTTACTGCAACAAGCTCATTATTTGCTTAATAAAAATCTAATAAGTAGGTGAATGTGGTTTGAGGCTTATGGTATAGCCTAAAGTTTGCATTTTGGAAGGGACTTTGATTTCATTTTCAATCGTTGTTTCACTCTGTATTGAAACTTGACATGATGAATGACATTTGGTATTCAATTATTCATGGAAGTTGTTTATCGTTCAATTGTGCTGAATGTGAAGAGGTACAGGACACTTGATTCCATATGGAGCTGTGATTTGAGGGAGTAGAAGAATAGTGATTTTAGGAGGAGATGAGAACGATTATCTTGATCTCTTTTCTCCGAATAGAAAGGGAGAAGGGTTTGTCGTTACTAGTTACAATGATCAATATTTCAGTTTATACAAGGGGATAATGGTTTGTTTCCTTACTAGTTGCTTTGATGATTTGCATTTCAGTTTTGCGGTAAGTTGAAAATTCTAATGCTGTCAAAAAATTACCAAAGGCTGCAGGATGTGTTTCTGTGCCTTTTACCAAATGTGAATTTGCTTATATTTTCTTAGCTGGTTTTCTTTACTCTGTTCTTTGTGATCAAAGGCTATCTTGATAATGATTAAAATTGCTTAACTTCGCTCCTTTTGAGAATAATTGAACTCTGTATATTATGAGTAAACGTACTGTCGAACTTACTATTTTGCTTGTAGCAGTTGTCAGATATTTCAAGTTCTGTGCTAATTTGTCTACAATGTAACATGGCTCACACTAAATTTTGGTATATGTGCTCTT